TCCACTGAAATTCCACAACAACGAACGGAATTATTTGGTCATTACTCAACCAATAATCATGAAATTTGAAACTAGCACAAAAAATACACTTCTCTGTCTTGACGAAGTATAAATTTTGAATTTCGGTCTGTGACTATGTCTATGGAAAAAATATTCAATCGTAAAATTTTAAAAAACGAAAATGAAGAAAAAAAATACGCGCGTGAATACGCAGAAATGTAAAAAAAAGATTGCTGCACTTTGGTAGGAAATCGATATTCTGCACAGTAACGTTTATCTTTAGAACACTTGCTAACTGTTCGATAGGTAAATAATACCTACCTATATTCATCCAATCGTCCTTCCGTAATCCCAAAAGCCCAACACGGCAGGTAAACTATTTGGAGCTACTGAACTGTCCCAAACCGGTTAACACTTCAATATGGTACAACAGCGTCGGGTGTACCTTTATCAAGGAACTTTTCCAACTATGCGTGAAACCATTTATCATTCGGTATCCGGGAAAAGGAAAACGTTGTGAAATGAACGCCTTTTTATTAATGAATTCATAAAAACAACTTAAAACTCTATGGTGTAATCTTAAATGAGAAGATGATGAAACGACAATTAACCAAAATTCTGGCTGTGTTTATAAGGAAATAAACTTTTCAAGAAAAGTCTTGATTACAAAAATATTACGTTGGTGTACGTTTTGAAATTCAAATCATTTCTTTTTAACACAGACAGTTATAAAATATAAATAATCTTAATTTTTATTTGGTCAGTAATTCGCAATTATTCACCAAAACTCTAATCAAAATGTTTAGTTTATATACAGTACTGTATACTAATCTTTAGTATATATATAGTATACTAGTCTTTAGTAGTCTACTAATCTTTTTGTATTTTGTATACTGATTTAAATATGAATGTACTATTAGATTTCTAAATTTAAATATAAAAAAATCTTATTTTAAATGTACTCCTTTTCTTTGATTTGTCATTGTTTTGTCTGCTTCTCTTGCTCATACACGCCTTACATATACGTTTAAATAAACTGTGGGTACATTTTCTTTGGTTTGCTCAGTCCCCGTTAGCATCCGTAACTCTTTTATACGCTGCATACGTCATAAAGTAATATAAAATCAACAAAACATTATGTAACAGGCTTATTTACTATAATTTGTTTTAACTGTCCAACGTAAAGGTTTTTTCATTGTTAACGTGTTTCAAAAACCGCTACATTAATTTTATTGTTTATTTATTGTTGGTATATTCGTAAGTTGTTACAGTCGGTAAATGAATTAACGGTGAAAACAAAACAAACAGAGCAGGTATATGTACACTAAAACACTGGAATCAATAGTATAATTGTAAATAAATATAATAATATAATAAAGCTTTTAACATTAGTTGAAGTACAAGAGTTTGCAATTGGTAATAATTTTTTAACGAGTTTAATAATAAAAAAGTTATAACTTTTTCCAAAAAAAGTCCTCAAAATTTTGTGGCTTTACATCTAGTTTTATTGAAATCAGTCAACTGAAAGGGGGTTAAATCCAATAAACCGGATTCATCGCCTAATTTGTCACCCTTAGAGGTGGAATATTTTCTTCAAATTTAAATGGAACCACTACTAAGGTATTCTCTTTCCAACAAAAGAAGAATCATCGAAATCGATTCACAAATGCCGGAGTAATCGCGTAACAACAAAAAATACAGTCGACTTAAGAACTTCCTTCTTTTTTTGAAGTCCGGTCCGAACGTGTTGCGGTCTGTAACGATGAAAGACCCACTTTGAGCCAACTAATTTGAGCGTTTGAAAGGAGCCTATTAATTAATAATGATTCCACCTTTCCGAGAACAGTTTTTCTGTTGAGAAAAGTGTTTCTTTTCGAGAGAAGGGTTTAGTAGCAGTAGAGCTCCTTGTGAAAGAGTTCGTCTATGGAATTACTGTCACCTTACCTATTTCTGCCGACAAGCAGTAATCTCTGCATTACTGTGTTCCTGTTTTGAAGGGTAAGGGTGCTGGTAAAATTACAGGCCCAAGAGACTTGTCAACTTATGTGACACTGTTATGAACAGTCGTGTAGCTTACCATCAGACGCATGACTTGTTCGGCCCGTCACTTAACTAATAACAAAATAAAGAACGGTTACGTATAAGCAGTTTAACAAAATCCTTGTATTCGAAGGAAAAAAAGTGGACTCTTTGGAAGCCCACACAGACGCCACTATTGTCTATTTTAGTGTAGTTTGATTTCCTGCATAATCATAACATCCTCAGCCGTCTGAAGTACGAAGATAAATACAAAATGTGACTGCGATAAATATAGACGTAAAAGAAAAAGATGTTACATAAATATGCGATGTTTCCTAACATAATAACTGGAGAAAGTGAATGCAGCCGGAGGCTATTCGCGCTCTAACACGCACGTAGGTGGAAGTATAGGCAGGCGTAGGGCCTTATCCCTCGGGAGCGGTAATGTAGGACGTTAGTAGTCTTTGCATTCAACCCACATTAGCTGGGGTACGACTACTGACGAGTGGGAGTCATGTGGAATTAATTTAGACGTTATACGTGCTAATAAAACCTTTAATAAATATTAAATTCAAACAAAACGTTCGCTACAAGTTTGCCATTCATGGACATCATCAGCATTTACCGTAAAATTAAATACTAGAATACGATAGCACAGGGTACCCCGTTTTGCTTTGGCTCAACTCACACTGGCGCAGAGTCGAAGCGTCACGAGACGTGTCATGTTTTTCGCCTATAGTATATTCATTTTTATTTTCCCATTCTTAGTACAAATTTGTGTTATCTAAATATGGAATCGCACGTCGACGCTTGGTTAAAGTTGATCGGTTTCGTGCGACGTGGAGCGTTCAAAAGTCTCTGAACTGGTTCAGCACTGTGGTACGGAGGCGCTAATGCTAGGGTCGTCGCGCGACGACGCGCGTCTCCATGCGTTGTACTTGAAAAACAGGACGCGACGCGACGCTTCGACGCAGCGCCAGTGTGAGTTGAGCCTAAGGATCTCAAAAACCAACAAACGGACTTTACAATGGAAATTCCAAGTGCTTTCTGTGTACTTGCCGCCTACTGCTTTTCCATAGAGAATTTTTTTTCCATATCAACAACGCACTGACAAATATATACATTAAACATTAATATAAGCACTAGGGCAGGAAAAGTATTCACATTTTTGTGTCCGGTATTACTTATTACTATCCATGAAAGGATTAACAAGGCTAAAGGTAAGTAAGTTCCTTTACATGTACTAGGAGTTGAGAGCAAATGACGCAGACGCTCGTGCCCACGAATTGATGCCATCATTATGAGTCATAGCTGGATGTACTGATGCAGTCTGCTATTTGTGTTTGTTTACAAACAAGGTTCTGGATCACGAAAATCGTATTTACACTTTATTTTTAATATCCACGTCGTATCGATCGACTTTATTTACAGAAATACAATAACGTATCGAGCAAACGGATATTATATTACTCTACCGCTATCTTGGAAACTAGGATAAGTATTATATGTTGTGATAAAGGGAAACACATCGTTTTAAAAGTATGTCATTTATAACTTTGCGTATCTATATCACACTTTAAACTTGTTATATGGTTGTAAGAACTCATTTGCGCAGTACAAAATCTTGGAACAGAGCGATACATTGTAGGATAATTCATTCTAATTTCCCTTGGGACCAATGATATCCTTGAGAGCTATTTGGGATCCTGCCACCGTAACTTGTACCTTGAGACAGCGTTTACCTTAAAATTCATTTTGTGAGAGGACGTGTTCATGATTTATTTCAACTTTTTATTCCAACACGATATCACGTTGTCTAACATTTTTTCGTCCGTACTGGACGAGAAGTATTCGAATGGAAGAATCGAAGTATTGTCCTCTAGAATTTTACTAATTAATATCCTATAAACGATTAATCTACACGAACTGATCACGTTAGGTTAGATATAAATCAGTCGATCATTAAATCAATATTCTTGTACAGTCACTTATAATTAAATTTCCATTTTCAGCTACTTTATCATGCATTAATTTGATTCTGTTTGCATAAAGAGGAAATTCGTCCGGCTAGTTCGTTCGTAACCGCGTTGTTATCAGAGCAATAAAAAATCTTTTGGCAGCTATTCAGAATACTTGTGTACATTATGAACGGGTAGTTGGAAGGCAAACCCGGAGTTCGTTGAACCTCATCGCGACACCATTGTATCCCAGAGCGAAGCTCATGAAATATGAACGCTCTGCCTGAAAGAACGAAGTACACTCGGCTATAGTCCGCTCGCCACTCGCCTCTTACCGTGAAGTAGAAGCTCAATTGCGCTGACCAACATAATCGAAAATTTATCTTTAAGCTGAATAAAAAGTTTAATGCTTTCTCACGTACCAACAACCAGTCTTCTTTGTAACGTCTCCTTCAGAACCGGTCAAAGAACAATCGCGTTTGCTACTCATCGTTGTTTGTCTCGTTTTGAAAATACCCTCGGTATACATATAAAGTATCGCTAAGCCCACTCTGATTTCGACTGACATTAGCATCTCAAAGCCGCTACAACACATTTATTTGTTCACACAATAAGGGACTCTGTACATATTACATGTGTTTGAAGTGTGGAAAGGGATTTTTGTTTGCACATTTATTATCATATACCTACGTTAACTAATCTGTTGTACCTATGTCTGTACGGAAACTTTTTTTTTTACTTTTAAACTACGTAATTATTCGCGTAGATGAGAGTTACTCTTAGATTGTAACTAACTCACTGCGTGGGATTACGGTAGTTCTTTCATATGCCTAACACTCTCTTTCGAATGATTTAACATTAACATTCTACGTTTATTACAAAATGTATCAAAAATTAATATGCATTCTAAATGTTAATTAGCTAATAAAAAAAGGTAAACACAAAAACAAACAAAAATGGATTTATCAAATAATATATTCATTCAAACATAATACGATTAATGGGCAAAAAGAAATGACTTACCCATATCACTATACGATAGTGAGAGCACCTTGAAGCTGAAGAAGTGTTAAATCTTATGGTCACAGCGTGTACAGTGCATATTACTAGGTAAACAAAGATTGCGTAAAGGCAATCCCACGCACGCACGTCACCCAATCGATTTTCAAACTTTCGAGTACGCCCACTTACAATTTACAAGAACGAGGCTAGGACCCGCTTGAACAGCTCTGCAACACCGCATCCAAAGCACAAACTGGAAATGATCTCGTACGCCCTTGAAATCGTACAGGTTATGTTATCGATAAAGCACAACACGCGCACTGACAGTTCGAGCAAACAATCACAGGTCAAGTTCGGTGCCGGTTTCGGTAAAGTACAATGAACAAGGTTGTGATCTCTTGACGTCTGTTAGAGAGTCCCTTTAGCCAGTCGCGTCAATGCAACATCGCGTCGATACGCTCTATGTACAAGGTAAACGAATAATTCGTCGTAAGATCGGGCATGCAGCAGCGCTAAGCCCCCCGTGGTCAGACGGTGACTGAGCCTCGAGGGCGCCGCCGACCGAGTGCGAGGATGGAGCCCCGCGCCTCGGCCGCCGCGCGCCGTGGCCTGTTCACTGCGCGCGCCTCTCTTCTCCATGAACACATACCGCATCTATTCAAAACTCTGAAATGCTTGAATAAATCTACCGCATCCTTGTAACTATTTAATTAGTACTCGGTTATAAAATAAAATGTAAAACATCACGGTAAGTTATGGTTATGACACGAGAAGCATTGTAGAGTTCTAAAATAGTATCAAAACTTCATATAAAACTACAGTTAACTTAAAATATATCCGAAAATAATTTTACATCCGAAAAAACATCGTTTCAAGTGTTTCATATAACATAACAATTAATAATTGCTGTATTAAATGTGGTAACTTTGTGGGAATGGTGTCTCTACGTCGAACTTCAGAGACATCACGAATATTTTATGCGAGATCTAGCCCTAGACAAATATGAAAGAGACTATAAAAGCTGCATGAGAATAAGATAAGTAATATAGTTTGCGAAATCACCTGCACAAAAAAGCACACTAAACAATCATACGAGTAGGTAGAGCACAAAAGTGTATCCTATCGAGCATTTCAACGACAAACGTTTGTGTCTATGTTAGGTTAGCTAAGTTACGCTCGCTATTATTCACTGTAAATACAGTTCGATTGTTATTCGCAGTATGAGGAAATAATGTAGGATATAGAAATGTGTAATACACATCATAAATAGCAATGGTAGGTATGTATATACCTATAAAGCGACTTAAATTTTCGATTCGTTTACGTTATTGAATGAAACGAAGCCAATCTGGAAAAGGCTGGTACGAAAAGACACCATTGCGGCTTATCGGGCCGACACACTCCTTGCATAATAATAGGATGATAAATATTATTAGTTGCGTAAATTCCTGAATACCAAGGGAGCGCCGAAGGAGTCACTCGGGGCTGTCAGGGGCAGGTGATTGAGTCTTTATCGCCACGTCAGCGGAGCCCGAGGGTGCAACCTGCGTCTGTGTCACTGTCACTTGCCTCCCCATTTATCATAGCAAGAGACTCGAGTGCCCCTATCGTGTCTGAAGAAATCGGGAAAAGTTAAGTAGTAATGGGAACCTTATGTATTTTATTATGTATATTCAAGCATACAAATGTTGCTTTTATTAGACAATATGTTGAAATATACAATAAAACTTAAATAGTAGAAACTAAAATTAGGATTAAATTACCTTTATGAATAAAATTGGGTCCCTGTGACAAGGTGCCCAAGATACTGGTAGCGTTGCTCCTTTGTATGGCATATTACCTGAGGTACCGGAACTAGGAGAGGGGAAACCATGTAGTATTATACCTAGAAGCCGCTTCCAGACGTGCTCGGTCTATTGGGATGCTGTTTTAATAAACAGTCATTTAAAGTCTTTTTGCACAGTACATTATCCTTTGAATTTTGGAATCAAACGGAGAATTTTTGTTGGGGCAAGATTGGTTCCAGGCGTTTCTGGATTCAATTAACGCCTCGTATGTCACCTCGCAGTTTGTTGGCGTAAGCCTTAAGATACTGTCTACGAGGTTGACCGTGCTGTAGATAAAGGACAAAAGCTAAAGCTATCGTGGATATGCTCCTGATGCCTAAACCACCATGTCTGATGGGGAGGGTAGCTTGCGTTCAGGCTTTGTGGGTGAGATGAACGTTGATGATGGATTAAAGAAGAGCTTTGAGGTCAGAATCTATTGACATCAACTGATAATGGTATAGCATACAAATTGTAAATGGTTAAGGACCAAACAATGCGATGAATAGTAGAACAGAAATGTGCAGAATATATTAGTGTTTCTGTTAGCTCGGAAAAAAATATAAAGGACAGGTAACAAAGAGTCAGGTAGCGGTATTCTTGCAAAGTAGCAAGCGTGGGGTTAGCTCACTGGCCTAAGTTCCAAGAAAGCCGGCGGCAGCACGTTTGTGAGAATAAGCTTGACCGAAACGTCAAATAATTGATTATTCAATTTGTCGGAACGCGATAGGTTGGTGGATCATCAGATCAATGACGTTTGGGCGATAGGTTGATTATGCGATGGTTCATTAGTGCGAACATTCATTTGGGCGAATGATCATTGGTAGATTACCATTAATATGATAAAAAGGAATTGAAATTAATGCATGTTTTAGTAAATTACCATCTACCTACTGAATTCGGTGTTGCATTTTTCCATTGTTGACTATTGTTGTAATAAATATGGATTATGTACAGTTAACACTTTTTACAGGTAAGAACTTTCATTCACTTGTCAAGCCTATTTCTTTACACATCAACCATCACTCACTCAGAAAAACAGGCGCACACGCACAAGCTCAAGCACACGCACACGCACACGCACACGCATACGCACACGCACACACACACACACACACACACAACACAACAAGCACGCGCACGCACGCACGCACTTACACCCCTAGGGCATTGTCATACATTTAGATTATAGCTTACATAAACTGATCGTAATTTTTAAATTGCGTTTTCCTTATGTTAAATATTATGCGTGTCAATTTTTATAATTATTCTTTATGATCAAATAAAAATAAACCACTGTCTCTTATGATACAGGCTCGCCTAGTTTGAGAGACAGGGTCGTACATTGTTGGCTACCCTGATCTACAATTAAATAGTGCGATCTTTACTGATAACTGACTTTTTGTACGTGTAAGTTGTATTTCTGTAATTTGTATTTTGTATTTGAGGTAATAAATAAAATTATTATTATTATTTTTCCCGGACCAGTGTTCACTTGCCTGATTTCCGTGGCAATATTTATTATTTCAATATTCAAGTATATTATCGCGCAATTATTAAATAATATTTCATGACACAATACTCGAATATTAAATAACATTGTACGATAAAAAATCGAATACTTAAATAATATAATTGCAACGAAAATTAGGTAGAAAACAGTAGTCCGAGAATGACCCGAGAATGAAATGCCTTTGGTGTCATAAATACATTTCTTTTGTTTTATGATACTAAGTTATGGGACGAAAAAGTCGTGCGCCTGATGGTGAACGACACGCCTGTCTATAACAATTGCAGTACCACTCAGAGATTTAAATCGCAAAGATCTGATGTGCACTGCCGCTGCGCCTATCACCCTGAGACAAAAGTTAACAAATCCCATGTGCCTGAAATTTCACCACCACCCTTGCCCTTTAAAACCACAACGCAGTAATGCTCACACCACTGCTTGGCGGCAGTAATAGGTAAAGTGGCAGCACTTCCCTGGACGACATTCCCAATATCACACTTTTTTGCCCTTATAATCACATTTGGTTTATACTAAAAATAACATATGTGACGTATTCTACTATTTTCGCACAAGAGAACTATCAAGCTTATAAACTATTGACCCAATGTACCGCCAATTTAATAAATTTAGACCCAAGACTATGAATAAATTGAATAATTGATTATTTGACCCTTCGGTTCAGCATGTTTTAAACCTATGTACCTACTAAAATTGTATCTCGAGTCGTCAAACTTTATTGGACATAAAATTAAGTACGTTTTTCATCGACAAACTCAATAAGGTCTTCCATACTACAGACTAGGTACGCCACCTTTTATAAAGGTTACAATATTAATAATAATAGTTTTCGTAATTATGACGGTATAGCATATGTATTTAAACAATAGGACATAATGGAGGCCACTGTTGTTGACTACTCAAAGATTCTTTCACGGCAGTAATGATATTTGAGACCTACTTTATTAACAAAGAATAGAATTACAATCCTTGTGTAAATAGGATATCAAATATACTGTTTCCGACTATGTTTACATGTGCTGTAATTCATATAGCGACGAGGTCAACGTAACAGGAAGAACTAAATAAATATTGCGTTTCATAAAACTGTATTTGCAATACGTATGATATTATCACTATTTATAACCAATGGTCGGAATAGATTGTTCCAAATAAGTAGATAAATGTCTACATAAAGATACTAGGAGTGACATGGAGTAGTTAAAACCACCACATATTAATTAATTACTTTTTCGAATTCGTAATGAATTTTAATGACATGCTTAAATAATACATAAATAATACAATAATGATAAATAAAATCCGCATTAATTAAATTAACTTTTGCTTGTAGGTCATAAAAAATGTTTACTGAAAGGTATCTACTAAATTTTCTTACACAGCGCGCTTAGAATTATTTTAAAATCCAAATTCAACTTCCTAAATAAGTAGTTTTATCGTACAATGTAGTAAAACTAATTCCAGAAATCCGGAATTCGAAAAAAGTTGTTGATGGTTTGTGTTTTAACCACTCTATGTTACCCTTATATCTGTATGTAGACATTTATGTGCTCATTTGAAACAACCCTATTATATTGTGTTATATACAATGTTATAATCAATGGTCAGACATTGATTATAACATTATAACACAACTCTACACATTTTTTTAATATTGTTTTATACATGTTTAACGGAAATTTGTGTTTGAGTTCTTCATTCAGTAGTTTTGCTTGCGGCATAAGTGAACAATTTGCGTATTAAAACGAAAATACGAGCAGATGGCAAATGTCGACAAGACCAACGTCAATTCTCATTCGTCTAGTCGCTAGTCTAGACATTGGTACATACATTGTGATTGGACGTTTTGTTCCTTCACCGACAGTGCATTCTCAGTAAAGTTCTACACATTTCTAAATGCATGACGAATCGCACAGAAATTAATTCGTACGTTCACGCTATAACAGATTTATCGGACCATTGCAATAACGTGGATTTGCTCAGCCTTGCGAAACAGCGTTAAGTTATTCCATCAAAAAATTGCACAGGAATACCAATAAAATCGTTCGATTAATTAACCACTAGTTTTAGCATTCGTACCGTTCGATTTTACTGCAAAGGTTATATGATTGGTTAATATAGTGATACGACATACGATAAAATCTGACGCGACGCCCCGGTCGAAGCTCATCTGCTGATCATTTCCTGTTCAGACGCTGCAGACGTCAA